ATTTTGCCTTACTTTGGCCCCTTAGGGTTTCGATGCTGCCAATGAATTGAACAATTCCAGGAAAATACATAAATGCAAAATATAACATTTCCTATACATGATAAAAGTAGACCTCTGACCAAACTACGAGGGTTTGACCGAATCTTGTCAGGTTTTGGAAGCTAAGCAGCTGAGAGCCTAGATAGTGCAGTTAACGGTGATCAAAATGCACAGAGGTAGTCATAGGCCACCGGGCTAAGCGATTAGACAGCAAAACTCATCGTTGTACATACACGTGTACGTCACTCTGCACTGACCAGCGCGGTGAAGTATGGTCAATCTACCCCCCATGACCTGCAGTGTGTAGGTAGACACTCGCCCAGCAATGGATTGACAAACGGGCTGTAACAAATCAAGGTACAAACCATCTTCCACACGCCGTGCATATTAATGCAGGAATTGCGGTAGCTCACGTGTGCTCCTACCCTCTGTGCATGAGCGGGCTGGTGTTCACACATACTTTGCTCGCGGATGGAGTTTGGCCATTAAAATAATTCTCACACTGCTCCCTCCTTTGCCCACCCCCACCTCTCCTCCACTTTGCCCACTCCCTCTATTATAAAATTACTGTTCCACATTGACTTTTGGCATCCAAAGAGAATAATGGGTAGACTAAAATGAACAATAAAATTAATTAAGAGGTTACACATTATTTTACATTTCTGAGAAGCACTACACTTTGTTGCAAGAATAAAAATACCGTGGTATCAAAATCATCTGTATTTATTCTGGAGTAATCCGAGGAGCTATAAAGGTATTTTTCACAGATGTCGAATGGTTACATAGCCCAAACAGAAGTACATATTAATGTACATATAACTGCGAGCGAAGTGTTATTGCCCTGTGGGAGAAACTAAAAATGATTACTCTACATGTACAAGTAGACTTGCATGCAATTGATGTGGCTATGCAGGTGCCTATCAAACCATATTACTATATGACATTATTTTAGAAGCAAAAAAAGTTTTGCTGGCTGGCCGACCCACGGGCGGCCAAATGAGCGTTTGAAACGTCACCGCGCACATCTGCGTGATGACGCCACCGTCTTTGCATACCGTTGAACCGGGTTCGTGTGTGCCGACGTCAAACCTCAACCCCACCCACCCTCCACCCCGGCGGTGTATACCACGCAAATGCTTGGGCAGTGCAGCTCAAATAAAATAAAAAAGTATTACGTCCTCACTTTAAATTTGATCGTACAGAACCGAAAAATAAAACCCGAGTAAACAAATGTGTGGCATTGGCAGGCACTGGAAAACCACGTCTCATTTGAATGAATTGTATTGTAACTTGCATCTGAGCAGTTGGCGGATGTATGTGAACAATCACACTTCGTAACTTGTGACATTCCAGCCACAAGCCTGATGAAGGAAATTGGCTGTGAACTAAATTACAGCCACCGATCTGGTGCTGAGGTGTAAGAAGTGAAACTGTTCTTAGCTGCTATAAAATAAGGAGCTGTTTGTGAAGGCTGTTAACCTCTGCGAGATTTAGTGAGCAATAAAAGATCAATGCCTTCCTGAAGCCAAGGAACAAAGCTAAAAAAAATCCAGCACATTTCAAACCAACTAAAACTCATTTGTAGGCAGTATGTAGTGCTACAACAGTAAAATAAAAATCTATACAAATTATATAAATTAATATTATTTAATTGTGACAATTTAACAGTGAACAGAATGTGCATTGTAATATTCATATTAACCATTGGTGTGAAGATCAAATAGGCACAAACGCATGCAGTAAAATACAATAAATAATATATAAACCCTAGCCCACTGAAAAGCATAAATGTATTCCATCATGTATGCAGCTCCAATTTGAATTGGTCAGTTTATCATATTGTACCATGGATACAAACATTGTAGTTGACCATTAGTGTAAGTATATGCATACAATCTTGATTTGAAGCTTTCGTGACTGCAGGAATCCATACTCTTTGGTTCTTTCGGTAAAGTCACATAGGTATAAAATAAATCACGACGTTTCAATCGCAACACAAGCGGTCGTCCTCAGGCGGAAAAAAATATAATGGATTGTATTTTTACCTACGTGACTTTACCGAAAGAACCAAAGAGTATATATGCATACAGTACTTTTAATCTGTTGCTTAAAATAATCAGCAGTTACATCGGTGCCGCTTACACTAAATAACTGCTATGATTACTTCGTCCATTGCCCAGTTTGAAAAGTTTTAAATTGAAGTTTCAGTAACTTTCTCAAAAGTCAACCATCCATTTAGTCTACCCCTTATTATGGCAACATTATGGCTTTCACAGTGAGGGAATAAAGTATTTGATCCCCTGCTGATTTTGTACGTTTGCCCACTGACAAAGAAATGATCAATCTATAATTTTAATGGTAGGTTTATTTGAACAGTGAGAGACAGAATAAAATAAAATAAAAATCCAGAAAACGCATGTCAAAAATGTTATAAATTGATTTGCATTTTAATGAGGGAAATAAGTATTTGACCCCCTCTCCTATCAGAAAGATTTCTGGCTCCCAGGTGTCTTTTATACAGGTAACGAGCTGAGATTAGGGGCACACTCTTAAAGGGAGTGCTCCTAATCTCAGCTTGTTACCTGTATAAAAGACACCTATCCACAGAAGCAATCAATCAATCAGATTCCAAACTCTCCACCATGGCCAAGACCAAAGAGCTCTCCAAGGATGTCAGGGACAAGATTGTAGACCTACACAAGGCTCGAATGGGCTACAAGACCATTGCCAAGCAGCTTGGTGAGGTGACAACAGTTGGTGCGATTATTCGCAAATGGAAGAAACACAAAAGAACTGTCAATCTCCCTCGGCCTGGGGCTCCATGCAAGATCTCACCTCGTAGAGTTGCAATGATCATGAGAACGGTGAGGAATCAGCCCAGAACTACACGGGAGGATCTTGTCAATGATCTCAAGGCAGCTGGGACCATAGTCACCAAGAAAACAATTGGTAACGCACTACGCCGTGAAGGACTGAAATCCTGCAGCGCGTGCAGCGCCCGCAAGGTCCCCCTGCTCAAGAAAGCACATATACATGCCCGTCTGAAGTTTGCCAATGAACATCTGAATGATTCAGAGGACAACTGGGTGAAAGTGTTGTGGTCAGATGAGACCAAAATGGAGCTCTTTGGCATCAACTCAACTCGCCGTGTTTGGAGGAGGAGGAATGCTGCCTATGACCCCAAGAACACCATCCCCACCGTCAAACATGGAGGTGGAAACGTAATGCTTTGGGGGTGTTTTTTCTGATAAGGGGACAGGACAACTTCACCGCATCAAAGGGACGATGGACGGGGCCATATACCGTCAAATCTTGGGTGAGAACCTCCTTCCCTCAGCCAGGGCATTGAAAATGGGTCGTGGATGGGTATTCCAGCATGACAATGACCCATAACACACGGCCAGGGCAACAAAGGAGTGGCTCAAGAAGAAGCACATTAAGGTCCTGGAGTGGCCTAGCCAGTCTCCAGACCTTAATCCCATAGAAAATCTGTGGAGGGAGCTGAAGGTTCGAGTTGCCTAACGTCAGCCTGGAAACCTTAATGACTTGGAGAAGATCTGCAGAGGAGTGGGACAAAATCCCTCCTGAGATGTGTGCAAACCTGGTGGCCAACTACAAGAAACGTCTGACCTCTGTGATTGCCAACAAGGGTTTTGCCACCAAGTACTAAGTCATGTTTTGCAGAGGGGTCAAATATTTATTTCCCTCATTAAAATGCAAATCAATTCATAACATTTTTGACATGCGTTTTTCCGGATTTTTTTGTTATTCTCTCACTGTTCACATAAACCTACCATTAAAATTATAGACTGATAATTTCTTTGTCAGTGGGCAAACGTACAAAATCAGCAGGGGATCAAATACTTTTTTCCTTCACTGTATGTAGTCTTGTTTGTAGATCTAAGATAGGTTGCTCCCCTAGAAAGTCTGGTTTATAAGCAATTATAGAGATTTGAATCCAATGGTATCTTTATAGTACAATCAAGAGCTGGAATATCCGATATTGTAATCCATGACTCGACTGTATCGGATAGCACAAAAGTCTCACCTCTGTTCGCATGTTTGCTACTGGATGGGAGGTGATGGGGTGGGAGTTCTAACAACGGCATCTTCAGCTGCGTCACACTGGACATGGCTGATAAGAGGGTTTAAGACCTTTGGAAGGCATTTGGGGGGCAGCCACCATTTTTAAAGGAGCCCAAATAATCTAGTACTAAAAAACCGTAGTTGATTGCCTGACTCGATGTATCGTCCCAGCTGTGCGAAATCAGTACACCAACCCCCCTCGGCTTAAATTCTGCCCTCAAGCCACTTGTGTGTACATTTTTTTTCCACGAGATGCATGTCAACGGAAAGCCAGTTTCAGCCAAAATGATAGGAAAGTGGCGAAATTGCAACCATTTCCTAATTCGGAAACTTTTAACAGAAACATTGTGAAGTGTTTTTCACAAATATACAAAAACATCGAGAAATATTTTTTTACATACGGAATTTTAGAAAAATATCCTTTTACAATTCAATTCCACAGCATTTAGAGAACCTTATTCAGTACAAATGGAGGTTAAAATGTATTAGCTGAATATTAAAAAATTCCACATCACATAGTTGCATAATTAGCTTTATTGTATTTTTTTTTCTAAATTGGTAAAAAATTATATTGCACGAGTACAATTGATTACATTATGGTTTCAAAAGCCCATTATGAAATAGAATAAAAACAATGTAAAACTGGTTTCTAAAGTAAAAGTAATTGAATAACACACAGCAAAAACTTTTTATTTGTACTGTATGTCACTATGCAGGTCTGAATCTTGCAAAATACAGATAACTTAAAATATAGAATATAAACGTAAATACTGGTGTCTTATAACATTTAATGTTCTTCATACAATCTCATTGTCTGAATTAACCTCATGTCTGTATTTACATATTTCTGCATAAAAAAGGAAATCAGAAACATATATTTTAATATATATTTATTTTTTGTAAAGAAATCCACTATGCAAGATGTGTTTTTTGTAATATTCAACTGCATTGTACAGTCATGGAGAAATGAACACCCGTGTGAATTAAACTAATGCAAGCCAATACAACCATATAGCAATCAACACTTCTGCCACAAATGGGAATATACGCAAATAACTAGCTTTTACTGTGACATTTACCTTGTAAAAGGAAAAAAAAAGTGTATTAAAATTATTCCATAATTGGTATTGTATGCTTATCATACTAATAATGGGTTCCATCATATCACAAATACTTATGGCAGATTTATCAAAAGCACTTTACACTGTTTTATCAAGCAAACATGTATTTTGACTGAATATAACTTTGTTGAAAAAGCAAAAGTATAAAAACAGTCACAAAAGCATGATCAATGTACAGCAAAGTATGACTTTGCAAAAAGTCACGGAAAAAAATGAAGACTCTTAGACTACAGTCCTCATTTTACATCATGTGCACAGCTACAGTTACATACCGTTCGAGAACAATTATCAAGTTGAAAAAAAAAACCGAGCAATATTTCAAGCATGGCAGCCTTATCCTGTCAGTCTCCTTGTAAAGGGCAAGGACTTCTGGAATATTGGATACACTTGGCTAGTTGTCTTGTTGAACTAGTTGCTTTTCTCAAGATATGCACAGCAGCCCTAAAAGAATGGGAAGACAAATGAAGATAACATTATATTCCATTAACCCTGGATAAATGATGTAAACAATTGCATTAATTAAAGTTATTCTGACACAGAACATTGCTTTTGAATAGTTCGTTTGGCATTGTAACATTCAATATTTTAAAACAAAGCAAGTATTTTAAAAACAAATCGCAGATTTTGCTATTATACAGTGGTATTTTAGCTTATTAGAAAAATGTGAAATACACTGCTTTACACATTAATCTTCTTCCATTTTCTCTGGCAGGGGGCTCTCATCGTCCACTATGTCCTCTGCTGAAGCCAGGATATCAGCCATCAACACTTGCTCCAGTTTCTTGCGAATGCTTTGAACCCGTTCTTCTTGTTTTCTATGGCAACGGAATGTGAGGTTGAATTAATCATTGTCTGGCAAAGGCTTTCAATAGCTACGAATGTCAGACCTTCAAGGTTCCTGAAAGGTACCAGCACCAGAGATTTACTACATTATCGAATTTAAACAAAACATTATTCATGACGTTAAACATGTTTTAAATGTTTCTTAACGGCAGAACCTACGTTTTTCTTTATTAGTAAACGTAATGTTAACATTAAAAAATATATCGTGGCAGGTATTTAACCAACCTCGGCCCATAACAACCACAAAGGACATTAAAGACGACGTAGCAGGGGGATGCAGATAAACACGGGGATATATATGGAGCCGATGTGACAAAGGACTTTATTGTGAATTAATGTCCGGACCACTTCATTCATACTCCTATTTTGTACTAAATTACAAGTGATATTTTAGCGCCACCTTTTGGCCGAGCAAGTTAATACAGAAATGAAAGGTCAAACCACTGTAGATTGTATGTGACAAAAACAAGACATGTCATTCTATACTTGTGATTGCTAGTTGGGAGGTCTCAGTGAGTCAATTGATACTTATCTTTAATTTCTTACCTGATATCATCATCGGTGACGGTGAAGGCTTTACAAAGAGGCTGGCTGGTGTTGAGCCATATAGCTGGGTTTTTTTCCACACCTGCAGACATCTGCCCAGTGATGGAAGATGAGCTAGTGTGCAGTGCACTGGCCAGTGAGGACAGGAGCGTCTCGGCTGACCAACCTGGGCCAACACCTTAAACAAGCATAGTTTCAAAACAAACATGTTAGATCAGTAACATAAAGGTTATGCTATTTTGATTTAAAAGGCCTCAATATGTGACTGCATTAGAAGATTTTGTAAAATAACAGACGTGTGCATCAACAGGACTTTTGAAATATATATAGGATTACTTTGGGAGGTTACTGACAGGGTAGTAGAATGAATACTCTTAGAGTAGGCAAGTCATCAAATGCAGATGATGGGTATTTAGATGGATTGTCAACATAGAAGTTGCAATCGAGGACGGGAGGCCTGTGTTGGGTATAAAATCAAGCCGGAAATAAAGTTTGGGTGTCTATCTTTGGCACATAACAGAACTGAATTTGGAGATTCAAAAATTGTTCATTGCAATTTATTCAAACTTTATTTTTCCAACTTTTAGAATTGGTAACAGAAGACCATATTTGTCAACATCACATGGTCAGCATACAGATGTGAAGACAGATAAATTGTAAGCCAAAGAGGAGTAATATTACTGTACCTTGGATTCCTTTTGGTAGATCCATAGACTTGAGGATTTCCTCAGTGATATCAGAAGCACTCCAACCTTGAAGCCTCTTTTCCCAAAACAACTGCCACAGGGAAGACAACATCTGACATACTATTATAATATAGTAATAAAAACAAAATATTAATAAAATTTAACATTACACATTTATTTCAACAGGCAAGTGCCCTTTCAGCTTCACCATCTCTTTACAAAATAGCTGCGTTATGGTAACTGCATACATACAGTCCGTAAATCATATAGTATTGAAATGTGTAATTCTTTTGGACTATTATTTGCACATGAATATATTGATTTACTCTCAAAATTATTTGCTCTCATACACTAGGGTATCTATAATTCACATTACTTATAGTTTATGTCACACATATTAGTTCCATGTAGTTGCATATATTAATAAATATTGTACATGTTATAGTTTAAGTTATGTTTTAATATTTTGTTGTATTCCAATGACTTGACATGACCGAGATCTCCTTGTAAGAGGCAATGTATCATGTCTCAATGGGCATATTAGTCATCTGTTAAAACAAGCATATTATAGGCATCAAATTCCAGACTCTAAACTGAAGTATTGAGCAAAATAGTCACTAGTATACGTTATAAAATCAACATCTATAAAAAGTACAAACTATAAAATTTCTATTTGAGTTAAATCCAGTAATACCTACATTAGAAATTGATCATCTCAAGTTAATTTAGACCAGCACTAATATTACTAAAGCAGAAAGAACTGAAGCACTATGAGATAACCCATGCATGCAAGGGACCAACTCTATTCCATACAGTTGGAACAGATTGATAACAAATTTTCTGTACCGCCTTCATCTGGTATCCCAGGGTATGGCACTTTAACGTCCAAGCGAAGGGGATTTCACAACATTTCTGAAATGTACCAATCCTCGTCTCAACAATGATTTATTCCAGGCGTGCATCACCACTGCCCAGCTAATCGTACGTATTTATCGTGACAAATGTGCACTTGACTCACCTGTTTTGGCTGGTCAATGGCTCTGTGTGGATCTGCCTTTACTTTGCTAGACGAGTGATTTACAACTTTGGTGACAGGTTGCTTAAAGATAGAGGCTGTTTGTCTGATGGGCAGGGATGTATTTAGATCCGGTTTTCCCTTCAAAAAGACAAAAAATGATGGGCATTATTTAAGAAGGAACTGAAATGCACATGTAAAACTTAGTGAACATAAATCAAATAATGCTTTTTGCATTTTTCAAGGACTCTTACCTTTCCTTGGCCAATTTGGTCATTGCGAAGGCGAATCTTGTTTTTCTGTAACTTGCCCGGGATCAGTTTTCCAGTCCTGTAATCAAAACTACTAATATCTGCACCTGTCCCCAGGTATCGAGCCAACTGTGGCTTTCCACGGAACTTCTTCACGTTTGGACTGTCGAGGAAAAGCAGCGAAAACTTGGTGTGAATTAACATCGTGTAAAACATGTTAAGGGACCAAATTAACCTTCAAGATAAACCTTTACCAAGAAGGACACACTACTATGAAAATGAAATATTGCCGGAACTAAATATAGCATTTTGCACGAATTCTCAGTACAAATGCTAAGGAAATAAAAACAAAAATGCGTAAGATAAACAATTTTCATGGCACATCAGTTTTGCAATATTCAAGTCAACTTTGTTTTAACCAGGTGAGAACCCATGGGACCAGCATATTATCTTCTTTGGTTCTTTCAGTAAAGTCACGTAGAATGAGAATAAAATAATAAATTGATAAAATAAAATAACGCAATAATATTCTCACTATTCTCACTGTGAGAATATTATTGTGTTGTGATAAAATAAAATAACACAATAATATTCTCACTATTCTCACTGTGAGAATATTATTGTGTTATTTTCTTTTATCAATTCATTATTTTATTCTCATTCTACGTGACTTTACCGAAATAACCAAAGAGGATGAATCCTTGCAGTCACGAAAGCTTTAAATCAGTATAGTATCCTTCGCAAGAGTAGATGGGTATATTGGTTAGATATATCAAGCACAGGCTTACTCATTTGGATCGATGCCCCTGATGAGACGCCGATCACTTGCTGGCAGCAGTCGTGTGTTGGGGCTGCGTAAAATGACAGCTGGGCCATGTTCTCTTTTTCCATCTGGGAAGTGGCAGCTACAAACCATTGAGTGTTGGCTCGGCTCTCTGTCAGCACGACTACAACGCACACGATAAAACACATGTTGAGCGATTAGTGGCTTACAAAGCACGTGTACACAATTCTATTGCGCAAACACTGAAACTGGATCATTATACTATTTGGTTCTTTCTGTAAAGTCACGTAGATAGAAAAATAATCAAAGAAGGACATTAACCCCTTTACAATCATATAGAAGATTACCATTCACGTCTTTTAATACAATGTCTTCTTCCAATTATCCATACAAAAATTTAAATCGACCTTGCTCCACAACTCATCAGTGGTGCACATTATTTCAACTCACGTGAGTTTGGCGAAAACCTACTAGTTTTAAATGCAGATTTGAGTAACCTGTATTGAATGCATAGTCAAAAGATAATACTTTATTTTGAAGTGGATTTCATGAAACAAACAAAAAATGGGAACAAAGTGAATAACTTCAGCAAAAATAAAGTAATTCGTTTTTTTCCCTAAGTTAACCTGTAGAATATTGAGATGTTCCCTCAATAAGCTAAATATATATTTCACGTGAGATGATTATGCCATATTTATGTGACTCAGTAACAATCGAAGCAAGTGTTACTTTAACAGTGTTTCTGATAACCAGACGTTTAGAATGTATATAGTTTTATGCATACAAGTCAATGAACATTTAAGTGACGTAACAAAAGTGAACAAAATCTGTATAAAACTGCAATGCATGTACTCTATCATGAGAATGTTATTAAGGAGAAACACCGTGCAATATAGATTGCATTGTGCATTTTGCAACCAGTGGCCATTAAATATCTGGACCCAAGAATAAATACAGGAATGCATTCATTAACTGAAGACATTTCCATTCTGAACTCTGTAGTAAGGAGTGCACTTCCCTGTGTCAGAAAATGACCTTGGAAGAAGACATCACGGATATCACTTTCCTAAGCCACTTTGAAAGGCTGGAATGTATCCAAATTAATTGGGAACATGTGTTTTTACATGACAGTTTTTATATAAATAGTAATTGGTGACTGGGCTGATACCATCAACTCATTACACTTGAGAACCTAGTTTGGTCATGGCAATCTACCTGAGAATTAATCAAACCCATAATATCAACGGTGATCATTCAGCCCTTACTCAAAGTCATCCGTTTTTCAACTACTTTGTGGTTTCCCATGGCTAGACCGCGATTGAGATTGGCCTTTTTGGTTTCGGATATTGAATTTTACCATGAGAATCAAAACACTAAACCCTAGGCATCATGAAGGTGATAACTTGGCACACTGCGTGCTATTTAATCGATTGGTGTGTCAATATACAACAAATGTTTGTACAATATCACATCTGCGGGGACAGTCTTCACTCCTAAAATTTTTTATCAAACGTACTGCCAAACAATCGTGAAAAAGAACTTGCAACACATGCAATATGCTTCTATTAAACAACCAAGTAGCGGTGGACAAAAAAACACCATTGCATTTTGAAGTGGTTTAACAGGATAATTCGTTGTTTAACCCATAATCCACCACTAGAGCCAGACAAGGGGTCAGTGGCAAGTTCAGTTTACTGTATTTAGTTTAACCAGGGGAGAAGTTAAGAGACCAGGTTCGTCTCATTTGCGAGTGACCTGGGGCATTCGTCTGCCAGTAAGGGTCGATGATTGCTATGAATCATTAAAATTGAGTAATATGCGGCTAATTTTAGAATATGGCAAATGTTCAACGTGACACCGCCACATCATGACCTACCTTTTCTAATAACGTTAAGGGAAGCAGACAGCGCGTATTCGGTTATTACATCTGCAGTAATACTCAGGGCCGCCGTTCGATTACAATTGCTATATATTTAATGTTTTGCAAGCAATGTTATGTTGGCTAAATGCAATGCTGCCGTGTTTGCATTTATAATCGAACCATGATCTCATAAGGGTACACACACTAATACACACTGTAAAAGGTGCTTTGGTTCCAATGAGTGGGGTTAGTTGACGTGCGTGGAGAGTTATTGCCTAGTATAGAAGGCAACCCCACAGTATTTCAGACTCCACGTCCTGCTGATGACTCAAGAACTGAAACCAGCAAAGATTTTTTCCCTTGTACAAATTCTGCTTGAAAGCATTGTTACAAAACCGACCTGGGGTAAATCATATCTACTGAAGCATCGTTAGCTTCAAGTACAATTATACTGCAATTGCAATTCATTACAAATCACACAGTGACTGTACAGTTGTAATTGACCACACCAGGTCCGGTTCAGAAGAAGAAAATCTGTAGCTTGATGATGGACCATAAACAATACTTCATTGTTTTGCCGTGTCACATAGAACCCTTGTCTGGATGTCGGTTAATGAATTCTCAGTTACAGCGGCATGGCTTTTGTTCGCTCGAGTGCATGCAATCACCTCCGCCCCAACAATGCACCGCGAACGGCTGCAACAAAGCGCCTCGAAACCGACGAGCGCACGTCTCGCCTCAAAGCTGCAAATTTCACCAAAAGATGCGCAAAAGCGTGCGAACGGCGACACGTAGCGCGTGGAAAATTGTTGGGCATTAACGCGTTGCATGTGCACACGCAATCGCTTTACACGATGCACGGCAGAGCTGAGCACCAGCCCTTGACTGAGGCCCAGGCGGGCGCCAAGGCCCGGGCTTCACCGATGAAAGCAACTCGCGAACAACAACAAAACCTCCCCCGCGAACAATAAACGACAACACACGCGACTAAACCCACACGGTTTTGCGCGTTGCGCAACGAATGGTCCGTGGACGCGTGATTATTTTTGTTTTGTGTTCGCCGGCGGCCGCGCAGAGCCTCGAGCCCTCCTCACCTGATGAGCTTCTTCCATTTGTCGAACTCGTGGCGCGTCTTGGGGAAATGAAAGAACTTGCACGAGTCCCTCTCGCTGTAATGCCTGCAGTTTGGTACGAAGCACATCACCATGTTTGTTTACTCGTCTGTCACCGCTATTGTCCTTTAATTACATCAATTCGATTTGAACTGTACACACAACAAAATTTTCCTTCCGTCGCCCCCCCCCCCTATAGTAATCACCCGCGCCGGGGCCTCGATCATGGCCGAGCGGGACCGCGTTGCCCCGGTAACCGCGATCCAACCGAAGTCGTGGGACACATTTTTTTTTTTAAAAGACGACTCGTAAAATTACAGTCGCGGGTGATTATTTGCTTTGATTGCAAAAGAACGCGGAAAAAAAGTGTGTTTTGTAAAAAAAATTTTTTAATTGTGTTTGGAAATCTGCAAGCGCTCGGCGACTTTCGGGCCGCATCCGTGAGAGTCCCCCTCCCCCAACCACCCCGAGGCGTCGGTGCTGAGCGCTGACCGATATTGAGACGTAAGTTTATTATACTTATATACGGTGCCGTCGCTAAGTTTAAACGCGATTTAATTCAGAGGCGTTCAGAGTGTAAGTTGCAAATCGAAACGTGGCATCGAATACTTTCCGTAAAGCGTGAGTGAGGTAATTTTTTGTTTGTTTTTTAAACCGTTACAACTCACGCGTGCCATCTGCTGTGTGCGAGGTAACAGCGTGGATACTTTTCGATTTAAAGCTTTCGTGACTGCAAGGATTCATCTTCTTTGGTTCTTTCGGTAAAGTCACGTAGAATGAGAATAAAATAATAAAATAACACAATAAAATTCCCACGATGTTTTGAAGCTCTGTCGTGCCGACAGGTCTGTTCCTTTCACCTGAAGACGGCCGCTTGCGTTGTGGCCGAAACGTCGTGAGAATTTTATTGCGTCATTTTATTATTTTATTCTCATTCTACGTGACTTTACCGAAAGAACCAAAAGAAGAAGGAGCGTGGATACTCCCGGTCGCTATCTTAACACGGAAGAGTAGGCCAATTAACCCCCTCGAGAGCTTGTAATTCCTCTCGCAAAGCAGTGGCGGTGAGCAAGACATTGCAGGGCTGCGCTTTCATATTTCACATTAAAGGTGGTACTTTGCCTTGCTATCTCAAACCGTGTCAACCCATACGGTTTACCTGTATTGTTGTACGGGGGGAGTTTTCAGGTCCATACGGCGTACAGCCGTTTCAATACGGGCAACAAATTAAAATGTTTCGTTTCTATTTGTGTTTCTCCCTTGTGATGGGCCTTTGTCGGATGAACGGAGTTGGTCTGTAATAAGGTAGGTAGGGGGGCACTGCTAAGGGGTTGACAGCTATGGAATGTGACTAAGTCATCGTAAGCTAATTGGTAAACACGCAACCCAAAGAATCAGCTCACACAGGGGGTGGGATACTTTTTTCTTAAACGGTTTTACTTTACTTGATTCCTCTATTTATCTTGGTCAAATATTGTAATCAAAGTTTCGTCCACTTCCCGTCGTCCAATCAAATCCACATTTTGCGCACGTACTCAGATCCGGTGACAATGCATGCCTGTATCAAAATCGGCATCAATTAATTCGCTACTTTCAAGCAATTTACATTTTTGTATGGACGCCTTATTATTTATATATTTGTGTCGGTCAAAAACGCCGCGGTCCCTAGACTGTGGAATCGGCTCGCACAAAACGAAGGCGCCATTGACGGACTTTCGACCGTGAGTTTAACGAAGTTTTATTCTTGGTTCTTTCGGTAAAGTCACGTAGAAGGGAAACAATAAAATAATAAAAATATAAAACAATAGAATTCTCACGACGTTTCGACAGCATCGTGACTTTACCGAAAGAACCAAGAATATGAATCCCTGCAGTCACGAAAGCTTTAAATCAAAATTTTACGAAGTTGTTAATAAAACCGTTGTTTAAAAAAAGTTTTTAAAGGAGTTTATTAAGTCACGGCGCCATAACGCTCTTAAGGAACGTTAAATTCTGAACTTTAACGAAGCTTCAAACTCAATAAAAATAAGATCCAATAACGGACTGTGCTGTTAGATTTTTTTTGTGCCACACCTTTAATTTTAGTCTAGGACCTCTTGTGCGTGTGTAGTGATGTAACGTGTACCTTTGCAATATTATTCTTGCGTACGCGGCGAGCAATATGTTCAGGCGCGAAATGCCAATGTTTTGTAATAAGCGCACGGCAGTTCTTGCTAAAAGTCGTGTGTTTACATTCATTCATAAGAATGTAAAATGTGCCTTTGGCTCTCGTGAGCTTCTGCAGTGCATTCTGATATCTCCACACAAAGACTATTTTTTGCTTCATCAGCCTATTTATTTCCCTACCAGGCCAATGTTTTCAAGAAATATCGAATTAAGCAAGCGAACTGAACTGGTCTTCGACCTTATGGGTCTCATGAGTAGAGTCAAGCTGCCTCAGCACATCTCATATTTGAGCTCCAATCTTAAGTAATTTGAAATTATCTTCTGATGGGCATGAAACCCTTGAACACGATTCAGAGTTTGCTAGTCTTGAATAACTGCTGCTGAAATTCTGCACACCCAGAATGCCGTGCGGCTCACGGATTGTGTCAGAAATACTTTGATTTTGTATGTGGAGAGACATATACGAAGGACTGATTGCATTCCTTTCACCTCATCCCACATACAATCATACTAGGGTACCTTAGTGCGTCTTTTTTAGGTGACACCATCACTGGATCCAGTTTGACATGTCCAGGATAGAAGCTCATTGAGCTGAAGCTTACTTTATGGCAGATCATTAATGCTTACATAGGATGCATTTCATTGTTGAATAATTATCTCTGGAACGTATGATAATAGATTTTGAAGAATTTATTACGTTATCTGATGTGATGTCAAAGCGAACAAAGTACACAGCAGAGAGAAAGCTGTGATGTCACAGAGCCGAGAGCAAACTGATGGTATCTTTTGATCTATACCTGGCTAATACATGTCAACTTACTTTCTGAAATTTCCTAACGTCTGAAACGTATTAATGGGCGGCAGGGTGACACGGTGGTAACACTTGCACCTATACTCTTTGGTTCTATTCGGTAAAGTCACGTAGGTAAAAAATAAAACAACAAAAATCACGACGTTTCGGCCACAACACAAGCGGCCGTCATCAGGTGAAGGGATCAGGCTGTCTCGAGGACAGCGCTGGAGTGAAACACAGCCACGCTCAGACCGTGGCTTTGCACCTCACGGCAAGAAGGGGGCCTAGTTTCGATTCATGACTCAGGGACCTATCTGCGTCAAGTTTGCTCTCTCACTGCTCTGGATAGGTTTTCTCTGACTAAAAAAAATCTTGTAATATACATTTTGGTTTAAATTAGCACAAATTATTCAGGTTTTCGACCACCTTGTGTCCCAAATGGACAGCTGCCAATCAGAGAATCTGTGTTTGGCATTTGCACTTAAGGCGTTACGTGGTAGAGCACAGCATAAATACAGTACAAGTTAATTCATAAACATATCACGGCATATTTATACATTCTTGGTGAAATAAAATATATTTTGTAATGTTAAAGTGATCTGTTTTTTTAATGAGTTTTGATTGCAGATATTCTACACCAAAAAAAAATGTTCACCAATAAAAGAGCATGGTTTTCAAGCAGCGTGGACAAACAGCTTGTGAACATGTGGGGTAAGTGCTGGCTTAGTGAGCTGTTAATTCATTTTTTAAAAATAGCACAGTACTTTGGTGTTTTAAGCTTAGCTTTAATTATTTTAAGTCAAACCTAACTCGAGCTTATTAGGAGCATTAGCCAGGTGAGGGCATAGTTGAGACGTGTCTTTTGCAAGAGGGACCTGAGTGAATTTTTATATATAAAGATAATTGCACAAATAAGTGCAAATGAAATATAAAAAAATGGCAATCTATAAATATGCCAATAACACTAACTCAATCTGTATATTGTAATTGCAAATCATTCCCATGCGTAATTGTGCACTGCATTTATGATTGCATACACCTACATAGTAATGATTGCATACAACTTTTTGTTAATCCACTGCTTGATGAACGTCTTCCCACGAGGGTTGTTTCACCATGCTCTCACCACGCTGGCTAGTGCAGGTAGGTGAAGTGGGGAGGACCCAGGACCAGTTCACATATCACACGCCTCTGATATTAGTCATGGCCAGCAAGCGAACTCATGTCAGACGCATGTCTAATTATTTCATACAGCTGTGCTTTCATTTTACATTCAATATTCATATAATACTCGGCAAAAGATGTTTCATCTGTTAAGTGAGCTTGCTTTTTTTACGTGATCAGAACTTTTGAAATTTTTATGCAAAATGCTTAATTAATTGGCAATTGTGTTGCACATTATTTAAGTGATTTAAGTGGATGATGACCTGTTTAATACAGTAGTTTAATAACCTGTCATGTATTACGCGCAATAATACGTCTAATAACTGGCTGTTTTGTGTTTCATGTGGGTCCCTCAAGTTGCCAAGGGAGGCAAATTGTGCTCAATGCTCTCTGCAGACTTCCTGTTCAGCGATGATGCCACCAGCACTGACACTCAAACGTAATGACATTGTTTCCCACATGTATCAACAAGTCAACAGTGAATCTATCTCCATGCTTAAACAATTGATGGGTGGAGCTCATAAATTGGTATTCCTGAGCGATTGGTGGAATTTGATATGCATCGGCAGTCTTACAAAATACACGGTGTGCATGACGTCATGATTCCATTTACGTATAATACAGTGTACATGTACAACTCTCTTGTCAATTCACTTCTGGATGAGGGCTTCCCCATGCTTTGCCGGTCATGAGGTTTTTTGACAATGCTGGTTGGTGCGGATTGGTTGAGGGCAGAACTAGCCAGGCTCCTTCTGCTTAGCTTCTGAGCTCTGAAGAGATTGGGTGCATTCCAGGTGATTTGATCATCTGTTAAATGCAATACAATAGTTTATTAATAATTACAGCTGAGATAGGTCACCCAGTAGAGCACTGGACTCATGGAAGTATGGTTGTGACTTTAACAATATCATCATCCCTCCTTTGTTGGTAAACATCACACAGTGAGCATTGCTTGGTGCGAAGTGTAAGGTGGTGTACAGTGGGAATACTATGCCTTACCATTGGAATGTGGAATTTTATCCCCTGACTTAGGATTGTCAATCATGATGAACTCCTACAAACTGCTTTAGAGAGCATGGATACATTTTTGTTTCTTCTTGTGCGTTTTAAATCTATTGACATGCGCCTCAAAAAATATTTAGTTTATTTGGAATAGTATGGTATTTTAAGAAGTGTGGATAAATTATACAAAGAAGGGGTTCATATTTTGAACTTGATTCACATTTTCAACACTGCCGAAACATGTTGCCTTTGTGATTTGCCATTTTGTTAGATGAAAAGCGACATTTGGGCTATAAAATATTGATCATCACCACTAGGTGTCAGTGATGTACTGATTGAAATCATTCCCCATTGTGGTTTTGGGTTGTACCTGCTGGTATCCTCTTAAAGAACTTTACGCAGTTCCTCAAGAAGCTCCCAAAACATAGAGCAAAAAGTCAGACACCATGCTGAAAAACATGCGGTATAACCCAACAACTTTTTTAACTATTCAATGTATAGCTATATTTCTCCTCTTACTAGGGATGTCAGTGTTTTTGGCAATGGCCTAACAAAATATCCTCACTATATTTTTTACATGATGAACTGGCACATAAAATGAGTATGCAAAACTCATATGTTTTCCTAAATATTTGTAATTGAAAACTATAACCACATTTATTTATCCAGGAAAGTATCAAGACATGTTTAGACAATTCCACTCAGTTGTGAGGGTAACATCACAGTCATGCCAGAACGTGATCAGTGCAGTCATACTATTGTTACCCATGGTCTTCTTATCCACCAGTAAAATGATCTGTAATCCTCAATTATCACAGGTAACAATCTCAATAATTGTGCAAATGCATAATTACCCACAATATTTATTCATAGTTACTGTGGATTCATCCCATTATATCGTGGACAATTGCAAGTAAGTGATTAATTACGGATGATACAATCAAAACTACTTTTAAATGTACTTATTCCTGATGGGGTGCCCCCACTTTAACAAGGCTAAGAGGTGTTTCACTTTTATATTCTTGGTTCTTTCGGTAAAGTCACGTAGAAGGGAAACAATAAAACATTGCAGTCACTATAATTTACTATGTCCAGGCTCTGTTTCATGTATATACATTTGGAATCATGCGTATTATATTGTCACTTGTCATTTTGAAATCATGGGCATCCATATTTTGGCGGTAGCCAAAAGAAAAAACCCTAGAAAAGCTGTTTGCAAGGTGATTTCCCAAAACTAGGTGGTATACACATTGTATTAAAAATATTATCACGGTCAACTTTAAGGAAAACTCACAACTGCATTTCACATTTTCTTTCCACTTTATAAAAAACGCTCATTTGTTTACATTTGTGTAATTTACAACATTACTGCTGTTACCATTATGTGTAGCACGTACTTAAGGCGTATTCTTTTGGCATTGTGTTTGTCTACGTTATTGTATCATCACATGTCATTTAGCTAAAAGTGTTGATATATTTGGGAGCCCATTTTATCCTATAATCAAGAAGAAAACGCTTTAACAAGGAACAAAAATCATGAATATGCATAGATTCATGTCACGCTTTATAATATTCATGCTTTTTAACAGGGGAATATAAGTGGAAGTATTTATTGAGCATTAATAACGCTACTCCCAAGCCACACAACAATATGACATCACTCGACTCGTGACATGACATTACGATATGACACCTTGTGTAATAATTTCACGGGGAGTCGAGGTGTGCGCATTGCGTATAATGTCATCAATTTGTCCAAAGGTATCCATTTAACATTGTTGTTTTATTGCCAAGTTTTGGGAACCCCTTTAATGAATGTGGCTGGTTTTCTTTTCGAGTAAGTTCCTAATATCAACACAACTTTATTCCAAAATTCTCCATATGGATGATCTTGACAAGAGTTATTTTTATTGTTTTATATATTTTATTATTTTATTGTTTCCCTTCAACGTGACTTTACCGAAAGAGCTAAGAATAAGAGTCATTGTGACCCCATTTTATAGACAGCGGGACAGAGATAATGCATTCACACATTTCACCTAAGTTGTATTGTTCAGTTAATTTCCTTGAACAAATATTTATACATGAACCGTATAAAGGCAATATTTTTCTCTATTCTTTTCTAGAATCTACGACTCCTGGATGTATTTAGTGCATGATGTTACAGTATTTCATTCAAGCTATGTTGCTGCATGCTTGGATTCAAAAACATTCAAGAATATATCAATTGGTCATTATGTCCTGCCTCCAGCAAAGCTGCATGACGGTGTGTATCACATATTTTATGCAAAGTTTCCTTCATTGCTAAACTTCACTATGGAAGCAAATTAAGTGGCAAATAGACGTTCATGTCTAAATCAGATATTTCATGGTTCAGTTTATATTTCAGATGTTTATAGCGCGTATGAGAACTACAGAGCACATTTTAAAAAGCCTTGATTTTATTGTGTTTTTACCACTTCATACTCTTAGTTTGACCTTTCATGTTCAACGTTATTTATTTAACATGGCATTCAGATATTACTATTTATGGATTGTTATCAGATGGAAATTTCCGTCACATTCATAAAGTTTGAAAATATTTCTAACCCACATTTTGCATGGCTGGAAGGTAGTTACATCATGAATATGGTATGTGAATATTTAATTATATTGCTACACATACACACATAGCCCTTTTATTAACCCACTGCTGGATGTTTGCCTCCACACGCCATGCAGGTCAAGGGAGTTATTTGAGCATATTTGACTGTCAGTGCGTTTTGGTGAAGACAGGGAGTAGATATGAGAGCATAGAATCACAGTAATAATAATTTACATTTGTAAGGCACATTCCATCTGTAGATTCCAATAGATTTTTTTTACACATTTACTAAGCAGAGGCCCACAAAAATGGCAAGTTACCAGAAACAAACACCAACGATCTTAAAATTTTCATAGATAAGAGTTTACATGGATTTTTCTGTACTGGCCTCTGCTGTGCATGGTGGTTACTTATCCCAGAACTATCCACCCTCGACCCTACTTAGCTTCCAATATGTGTTGACAGCAGATGCATTTCAGTTGATTTGGTCACAGGCATATCGCTGTTTTGCACCATACGGAAGCCGGATTAATTGGTGGGAGATCCTTTCTGGTCATGTGTATTGTATGGATATACTGCAATTAATAGATTTATTATGTTTTTTTCAAAATTGCTCTTACCCCTAATTAACACCTAACCATTTAATTATCGGTGAATAACCTGACAAGGTGGTTCACTATTTACAATTCAATGTTTATTCTTAGCTCTTTCGGTAAAGTCACGTTGAAGGGAAACAATAAAATAATAAAATATATATTTCCCTTCAACGTGACTTTACCGAAAGAGCTAAGAATATGAATTACTGCAGTCACGAAAGATTTAAATCAAAATTCAATGTTTATTTTAAAACATCTCAACTGTACAGTTTAATCTTAGTCGCCATTACAATGAAGCAAAGGTGGGCTGAGGCCCAATATTTGTAATGTCCTTTTGAATCGAATAGTTAATAAAACGTTTACACATTTTGCCTTATACTTGACGTATTTTTTTTTAAGAAATAAGAAAGAAGGTTGGAGCATTTATATGGGAAGTGAATTCACTGCCGCATACTAAGAAGGTGAGGTCGCTGAAAAAGTCCATGTCCTTAAAATTAAGTTGTATCCTATTTGTGCCTGTCCACAAATATTCCTTTTATCTGAAATTTTTTATCATGAATAAACATGAGGATGTATAAATAGGCTGAATGTAGCACCTGTGGTGACCATTTGTACATCTAAACCATGAATAAACGTGGTTGATAAGATCAGTTTGAAGCATGACAGCTATTATTGTGGGCCAAACATTACATTATAGATGGGACCACAGAGTTTCGACAATTGTTGGCTCCGGATCTGGTTGCCTTTCCTTGCCGCTGCATAAATATTCTACAGCGTTTTGAGATACAATTGGCATGAACCATGCGCTAAAAAAAATATATCCCCATGAAAAACACGGGTCATTACAATTTCTACCAATTGATTTAGGGACTCTGGATAATAAGAGATGATAATAGGGCTGCAGCTAAGAGGATATTTACTGTAGAAAAATATGAAACAACTTTGTAGGATTAAATTGTTATTCATAATACAACTATTTTTATTCCATTTAAGTATTTATATAATGTCTGTCATAAAGATAGTATTATAAATTATCTCGGTAAACAGACATTTAAAATAATAATAGCATGTTTTCCCACTGAGCAAGGTGAATGGGGTTTAATGATCTCACCCCTGACTTTTCGTGACATTTCGCTAATGTATTTTTCACATTCCACTTTGTGTGACTCGCATTTCTGCCTGGGGAGATGGATGAGCAAGGTCCTTGTGAAGGGCCCTATACACAAGAGGTCGCAATAGCACATCACCATAGGGCTACTGATTGTGTTTGTCTTCCGAACGTGAACGTATGCTTGCTTGTTCCAAAATAACTCATTACCTGTATCATACAGGGGTTTATTCAGTTCATCATTACTCTCAGGGGATCGAGAAAATGAATATCATTTTGTTAGGAAGTCAACAGTGGTTCTATGGAGAGACTCACTCCACCATTGGCATGTGGAATTTCCACCACTGGCTCAAAGAGCTTCAAACATGAGATGAGCACCTTTTGAATGCTCAATGGAGAAAGAATATTGTAGCAAAATGTATTTATTGATTTTAAAAGATTAACATGTGATACAAATTATAACATTTAATAAAATAATACGGAATTAATGGCAGTAACACATTGTTAACAATGACATTAGTAATCATTACCATGAAATAATGTGGTACGGTAGATAAACAGTTGTAGTTAGCTATTTAAACAGCTACTTTATTATAATTTCCACAGTCATATTGTGACCATGCTTGTGCAGTCAGGATAGAGGTGGTTTTAGAAACTTCACGAAGTGGGTGGGTCGGTCCAGAAATGTCAAACTTTTTCAATGTGGCCCTTAAGATCTGCCACGGAGTCAAAATAATTGGACCCCTCAGTTTTGTGTGCAAAGTTCAATGTTTAGTCAAAGTAGCTTCCTCTTGTGCAAATCAGGAAGTGGATTGAACGTTAAATTACACTACATTGAAGAATGCGTCACGGAGACAACAGTTGGAAGCCACTAAAAAATATGAGTGTTAAACAAAATACGTTTCCTTAAGGGACCTTTAAATGAGCTCAATTCTGAAATCGACATTTCCACTTTACTAATTCAACATACCCTACACCAATGTGAAAACATGAAACCTACATAATGCCTTAATTACCATAGTAGTGTATATTGTCAGTGTCTTGCATGAAGCTATTCAACCTCTGTATTTTTTTTTACAAAGGAAATGTCAATGAAAGGAAAACGAGAAAAAAATGGATTCACGACTGAAAAACATCTGAATGATTCAGGAGTTGATGTGACAGAAGATTTAAGAGAAATGTTAGTATTATACATGGTTGTATATGTATATATTACTGTGTAACGTAACCATTGTAGTTTTGAACTTAAACTATTTTGTCATCCCCATTGAGTAAACATACTTCCATGGTCATAGTTTTCAGTTACATTTAGAAAACTAATGTGTCTTGATGTATGTATGTCAGACTTTTGGACCATAGGTAGCCAGCCGTGCTAATCAGAGGTGCGGGATGTTCACAATCTGCAAACAATCTCTACTGCTTCTTTGGTTCTTTCGGTAAAGTCACGTAGAATGAGAATAAAATAATAAATTAATAAAATAACACAATAAAATTCTCACGACGTTTCGGCCACAACACAAGTGGCCTTCATCAGGTGAAAGGAACAGACCTGTCGGGACGACAGAGCTTCAATAACAGGTCTGTTCCTTTCACCTGAAGAAGGCCACTTGTGTTGTGGCCGTAACGTCATGAGATTTTTATTGTGTTATTTTATTAATGTATTATTTTATTCTCATTCTACGTGACTTTACCGAAAGAACCAAAGAAGATGAATCCTTGCAGTCACGAAAGCTTTAACTCGAAAAAGTCTCTACTGCGTCACAAAAGCAGCTTGGCTATAGTTCAATGTGAACTTGTAGTGTGATCCATGTACTTTACATTTTACACAAGCATTTTTAAATGCTTGTCATTGTTTTCTGTAATGGGAGAATGTGCAAAAATAGGTGAATTGTGCAATACTATTTATGGTTGACATCGTGCATTGGGATGCTGCTGTCGCGAAATGGTTAGCGCCCCGTTAATTTAAACCCAGGAATTTATTGTTCACCTCAGTCCATCCAGCAGTATAAATTGGTACACCGCAGTCACTCGACAGTTCGCTTATGGTGGGGTAAAGTGTGGTTAATCCCACCTCTTCCAAGACGCCTGGCCGGCAGTGAAGAGTCGGCCAAACACCTTCTAGAAGGGCTCTCGAGCTCCCTCAATGGAGGCCCTTCGGCCAGCAGTGGTGTGAGTAAGCAATTGCAAGGGTGCACCTTTAACCTATCACCTCTACTGTGCATCGTGATCACTAACTTAAATTAACACTGGCATAAAGCAGACGTTATATATGGTCACGGTTCAGCCCAGTGTATGAATGCCAAGCAACAGATATCATCTATATATGACCGACTGTATACTTCTGAAATGTATTTTCAAACCCATACGCTATACATTGTTTTAACAAGTCGTATATATTTTTTTTTTATCACACAGAAATAATTCAGCGCAGCACCTGAACACCAAGGGAAACTGCTGTCAACTAAAGCAGCATAATTACCAACTTAACAATCTCATTGGTAGTAAGTATGAACATGTCTATATTCTGTCCTGTAGAGATCTACTTGGCTGATCGCGAACATACTAATTTCCTTCATCATTAACACTGCCTTCTAGCAGAAAGATGGAGAGTAGGGTAACACTGCAGTGACTGGCTCTTCATCATAGATTAAAGGATTATTGAAGAAAGTTTATCTTTAAAATATTAGTTAGCAACGTGATCAATTCCTTATAACAAAAATATATAATTGGCTATAGATTAAGAAAATGGCATATCTGTATGGCTCCGAAGAAGTGTCACAACCCATAATGTTAACTTGGTGTATGACTGTTAATGATGGTGGTTTCTTTGTGCTTGGACACTGACAACTCAGTCACTTAATTTGTAATATATACATTCATCATTTATTTTTTTTCCCCATGACTTGTATTTAAACTATTAACTACCTGTTATGTACAAATATGTATTCATTGGAGGCTGAGGAGTTTGAAACATATTTCATACAAAATGCCCTGTAATACAACTGATGACTAGTGGCCCTTTTTGGAGATATCCCACAGAAAATACAAGTCTACACACCAACGTTAGACATTGAGGATGAAGTCATTGAAGTAAATGAATAGCAGGAAAATACTCAAAAACACCAAAAAGAGTCTTTTTTATACAAGGCAAATGGAATGCCACGATCGGCCTGAACTCGAATGAACAGTGTGGTGGAGTTTTGGGGAAATGTCGAGTCGGGACCATCAATGACAGAGGAAGCTTGCTTTCTAGACTTTTCAAGCAGCCCTTGGGCTGAAATTAGCCAACAGACTAAAACCTCAAGATTAACCAATTGGCATGCCCCTAATAGAAACGTTCACAAACAGATTGATTTCATATAAGCTGCTCAGTGCTTTAAATCAAGTAGAAAGGCTCAAACATGTACTTATTCTGGTGCCGACATTCGAAGCGACCATGACATGGTGTTCATAGCCATCACCATGAAACTGCTAAAAATCGTCCTACATAATCGGCACGTATGCATCAAATATGATATAAAAAACTCAAGGACCCTTAAGTATTAAAATTTGACCGCCTCTACGGGATGGGTTTCCACATAACCATAAGATCTTTTAACAAACTCCGAGACAAGAAAGCTCATCTGATCGAGTCACTCACATTTCTGAAGAGATGCCGTGACTCTAAGGTAATACCGATCTCATTTCCACTGACCTCTGCTGCCGTCACATCTTCCAATGCCAAACGAATCTTGTTTAGGGCTAGCTTGGCCCTGATCTCAGAGAATTAGACTGCTTCATACTGAACTAGATCATGTAGACAAGACACTCTTGAAATCACACTTAACATTGACGGAAAAAAATGTCTACATCTGATTGGGAACATGTAGATAACATGATTGCTTCATCAGCCGCTACAATGTCAACTAAATGTAAAGATAACCTGATTTCCAAGTTCAACCTCCTTTCCAAAAAGAAACCAGATCCGTACATTAAAAAGTTAGACATTGATAAGGTTATTAATCTGAGTAATAGCCCAATTTCCGATGGTCTAAGGGGCCATCCATAAATGACGTCATGCACCTGGGGGGGGGGGGGGTCAGACGTTTGTGACGATGTGTGACGAGGGGGGGGGGGTTTGAGAAATGTGACGTGACGTCAAAATGCGCAACTTTAAATAAATATAGACAACACGTTCTACTTAAATGAATAGATATTTTAATAAATGTTTTCTCCTACAATGTCAGAGTGCAGCGCCACATTAAATACGCACTACAATGACAATAGTTTAAAGCGATTTGAAGCATGTTTTATTTTGGGGGGGGGGCAGAGCTTTGTGATGTAATATTTGAGGGGGGCATCTGACTTTTTGTGACGTGTGACGAAGGGGGGGGGGTCAAAAATCGTCAAAAATCACGTGACGTCATTTATGGACGGCCCCTAAAGTCTGTTTTAGCTAACCCCCAAATACCAGTGGATGACATCATTGCCCAGGTTGATGTAGCCCTTAAGCGTTTGGGACACATCGCTGCAGACGTGACAAGACCTGAACTCGCTGCATCCCTCAAAAGTGCTAAGATACGAGTCAGCAACATCAGTAAGGAGGAGCGCTGTGAGTTATTTCAATTAAAAAAGAGGGAAGATATCATCTCAGCTCGCAAGGGCAATGCCACGGTCATGGACAAAAACGTGTACAATACCAAAATTCAGGATCTACTTAATGATGGCAGCTACACAAAAATTAAAAGAGATTCCACCAACTGCCTCGTTACAAAAACTAACAGTATCATCACTGATTCAGCTTCTTTAATTGAACAGACCAAATGGTTTTCCTTAAAACCCTCTGCTGCTAGACCACCCAGACTATATGGCTTACCAAAAATCCATAAAGAACGTACACCCCTTCGTCCCATCGTTTCCACCATTGGCTCACCCACCTACAAACTGGCCTGGTATCTGTCTGAGACCTTGCAGCCATTCACTGGTAAGACCACCTCGTCTGTTCTTCACTCCGTTCACCTGGTATCGTCAATTAAAGACATCTCACACTCCCCAGGTGATTTGCTCGTTAGATTCGATGTAGTTTCTCTGTTCACCAAAGTTCCTGTGCCTGATACCATTGCAATATTTTTCGATTTAAAGCTTTCGTGACTGCAGGGATTCATCTTCTTGGTTCTTTCGGTAAAGTCACGTAGAATGAGAATAAAACAATAAATCAAAATAAGACAATAAAATTCTCACGACGTTTCGGCCACAACACAAGTAGCCTTCTTCAGGTGAAGGAACAGAACTGTCGGGACGACAGCGCTTCAATGAACGCTGCTAAGATTCGCATCATCTTTTAAGCTAGGTGGGAGAAGTAAAGCGCCTTGACAAAGGAGTTTACATATCAAACAGGAGAATTTAGCATTGAAATAGCTGTGTTAAAGTGTTGGATCAGCAGGGTGCTAAAGTCAGAAATTAGCATGTAACTGGGAGATTATCATAATGTAAATGTGAGGGATCAGCATGTGACTGGTCACGGAAATAGCTATGTTAAAGTCAAAGTTTACATATCAACAGAGGCATTTAGTATATGGATGCTAAAGGACTGCAACTACCCAACTATCATACAATAAACCGATGTGAAAAAACTAACCTTTCACTGGAAAAAACACCTCTGCGGTACTAAATTCCACTCACCTGGTATCGACAATCAAGGGCATTTCCCTGTCCCCAGACGACCTACTTGTCAGTTTTGATGTGGTGTCCTTATTCACCAAAGTTCCGGTACCTGACACCATCGCAATCATTGAAGACCTGGTTCATCAAGGACTTCATGCGGAGGTGAGACATTGCTTAACCAACACATACTTCACCTTGAATGGAACTTTCTACAAACAGACTGATGGCGCCCAAATGGGCTCCCCCCTATCTCCAGTTGTAGCCAACGTGTTCATGGAAAAATTTGAATCTGACGCCATCCAGACTGCCACTCTACGCCCGACCTTATGGAAGAGGTACGTAGATGACACCTTTGTTATCTGGCCACATGGCTTACCTGCTCTAGACCAATTCCTCGACCACATCAACTCCATACACCCAGCCATCAGATTCACCATGGAGGTCGAAAAAGAAGGAAAGCTACCCTTTTTGGATGTCTTAATTAAAAGGAGACCTGATGGTTCAATGAGCCACTCGGTCTACAGGAAATCGACCCATACGAATGCGTACTTAAAACCGGATTCCCACCACCATAATTCCCAGAAGAACTCCCTCATCAAGACTCTATACCATAGAGCCCAATGCATTTCCGACCAGGATCACATTGCCAGTGAACTCAAACACGTACACCAAGCTCTCAAGGTTAATGGTTACTCCGACTACACAATCCGCAAAGCTATCACTCCAGTCATGAAGAAGGATCCCCTTGAGGAACCATTCAAAACCATCACCTTACCCTACATTGCGGGGGTCACGAAAAAGATCTCCAAAATCCTGAACAAACACAAGATCCAGGTCCGATTCAACACAGTATATAAAATCCGTGATCTGGTTCCATCTGCAAAAGATGCTGTTCCAGACACACAGTACCCGGGCGTTTACAAACTAAAGTGCCTCTGTGGTAGCAGCTACATTGGAGAAACCAAACGACATATCTCGGACCGCATCCGCGAACATAAAGCAGACTTGAAACACGGTAGGACGAACTCCTCTGCCGTGGCAGATCACTGTTATAATTCAGTGGGCTTACATGACATTGACTTCTCCAAGACGGAGGTTCTTTGCAAGTCAACCGGCTACCATGAGAGATTCGTTCATGAGGCCATCCACATATACAGGCACAGAGACAATTTCAACCGAGAAGATGGATTCTGGCGTAGTAACCATTGGAAAGATGTTTTAAACCATTTCTGTTCTTAATTGTATTTCATGGTGACCTTCAGACCGCAGCCCTTTCGCTGGCATTGCCTCTTAATACCTCTCACACCACGGTTAATGGTATGGTTTATAACATGGAGTGTAACAGCGCATCGTGGCTGTTTCTCCCCCTCCTCCATTCCGAGCATAGATGGACTCGTCCGTCTGAACAAAGCTCGTCGTTGTCCGTGTTGCTAACGCTGAAAATTAAAAACCGCCACCCATTTTTTCGCCATATGGCATTGTAATGTATAACGACTTATTGTTAGTAGCTCAGCTGATTGGAGAGTATATTGAGTTTATTGATAACATTGATGTAGTTTATATTTTAGTTTTTTTTATTAGTTTACTATATGGTATTCAATATATAGTGTAGTGTATACCCAGTTACTTTATGTTAATAGCTCAACTTATTGAAGAATATATTGAGTACATTTATTATATTGATGTAGTTTATACTTAGTTTTTTCACATCGGTTTATTGTATGATAGTTGGGTAGTTGCAGTCCTTTAGCATCCATATACTAAATGCCTCTGTTGATATGTAAACTTTGACTTTAACATAGCTATTTCCGTGACCAGTCACATGCTAATCCCTCACATTAACATCATGCTAATCTCCCAGTTACATGTTAATTTCTGACTTTAGCACCCTGCTGATCCAACACTTTAACACAGCTATTTCAATGCTAAATTCTCCTGTTTTATATGTAAACTCCTTTGTCAAGGCGCTTTACTTCTCCCACTTAGCTTAAAAGATTATGCGAATCTTAGCAGCGTTCATTGAAGCGCTGTCGTCCTGACAGTTCTGTTCCTTCACCTGAAGAATGCTACTTGTGTTGTGGCCAAAACATCGTGAGAATTTTATTGTCTTATTTTGTTTTATTGTTTTATTCTCATTCTACGTGACTTTACCGAAAGAACCAAGAAGACCATTGCAATAATTGAAGATTTGGTCCAAGAAGGACTGAATGCTGATGTACCAGCCCTGGTGAGACTGCCTCACCAATACAATTGACAAACAAGTTGAAGGGACCCCACTCGGTTCTCCCTTATTTCTGGTTGTGGCCAACATTTTCATGGAAAAATTTGAGACGGACACCATCTAGACATCCACTCTACACCCGTCCTTGTGGAAGAAGTACGTGGATGACACGTTTGTCATCTGGCCACATGGCCGTCTCACTCTGGAACAATTCCTCAACCACATCAATTCCATACACCTAGAAATCAAGTTCACCACGGAGGTAGAAAAGGATGGTGTGCTACCCTTCTTGGATGTCTTTATCAAAAAGAGACCAGATGGCTCAATCAGCCACTCTGTCTACAGGACAGTAACCCATACTGACGCCTACCTAAAACCTGATTCCCACCACCATCCATCCCAGAAGAATTCCCTCGTCAAAACGCTGCACCATAGAGCTCAATGTATCACCCACCATGAACACCTGACCAGTGAACACGTTCACAAGGCCCTCAATGTGAATGAATATTCTGACTTCACAATCCGCAAAGCCATCACCCAAACTGTGAGGAAGGAGCCATCTGAAGATCCAATCAAAACCATAACCTTACCTTACATTACAAGGATAACCAAAACAATTTCCAAAATCTTGAACAAACACAAAATCCAGATCCGATTTAACACAGTGCATAAAATTTGTGACCTGATCCCATCTGTGAAGGACAAGATTCCTGACATGCAATATCCCGGCGTCTACAAACTAAGCTGTATCTGTGGCAGCAGTTACATTGGGGAAACCAAACAACATGTCTCAGACCGTGTTCGTGAACATAAGGCAAATCTGAAACACGGCAGGACCAATACTTCTGCCGTGGCTGATCATTACTTTAATGCAGCTGGCTCACAAGAAATGTATTTCTCTAAGACGATGGTACTTTGCAAGCCGACTGGCTATCAACAAAGATTTGTTCACTAAGCCATCCATATATATAGACACTGACAGAATTTCAACCGTGACGACGGTTTTAAACTCAGCAATCATTGGAAAGATGTCATCAACCAATTTGGGTCATGACTTGAATTGTGTTTTCTTGTCCACCTCCACCGTCAGCAGTGTGGGTGTGCGGAGTGAAGTACTATGCTTTGATTGGTGTAGACCTACTGACTGTGTTGGAGACCTCTGCTACATTAACATTAGCTGCTCCGCCCATTTCTAAACCTTTATAAACAGCTCTTTGATTGGTGTAGACCTACTTCCTCTGTCGGAGACCTCTCCTACATTAACATTAGCTGCCCCGCCCATCTCTAAACCTTTATAAACAGGCTGCCTCAGCAGCTTTCCCCCTTTTTTCTCCTGATGACGATTGCTTGTGTTGCGATCGAAATGTGATATTTTTATTATTTTTTATTCGCTTTGTTTTAATTTTTTTATTATTATTTTTTCTATCTACGTGACTTTACCGATAGAACCATAGAACATATATTAAGATATAATCTGCTTCAAGTTAGCACTCAATATGCTCGAGGCCAATATCAATAACCTCACTGACCGCTTTACAACTACAAGACGAGAAGGGGCTGCAGAAGTTCTCAGGCAAGAAGAAAAGAAGATACAGCCGTGGGCACTTAACGATCCGCTTGATCTATGCGAAGAAAGTTGCGAATTTAAGGCTAAATTCCTGAGCCCTCAGTATTGAAAAGTACGATGATTTAAACCGACAACTCAGAATGAGATTGAGAAAGGCAAAAGAAGAGTGGATTAATGCTAAATACAGGAAGTTGTAGTTCTGGGAAAGATATATATGTTTGGGCTTGCGCAGTTGGTTTTATGATAAACAGCCTTTGTGCATGCGTGTTGATATCCTAAAGTTAATTTTTAAATAACCTATTTTGTGCACAATGTTCACAGTTTGTTTTCAGCGACAGGTATTTTATCAGCCACGTTATGTAACAAATATGTAATGCACAGCATATTGCAAAACGTTTATTGTAAAGAGTAGACACGTAACAGTTCATCCTCCGCTTGAGTTGCAATAATTTGTCACACTTTATGACATAAATTGTAACAAATTATTACAACTCAGTTACTGAAGACGCTCCCAGCACGTGGAGTGAAACTTCAAGCATCACGCCGAGAAACACGCTGTACAACCCGACACCTATGTGTTGATACACACCTATTGAACAGTTGAGACTAAATTCTTGAACAGTTTAGTTAGTTTGTTGTCCTCCCGCACCTCCACATTTGCATGGTTGGCTATGTACGGTGCGCGAAAAGAAGTTCAACATACATACATACATAAAAATGTAAATTCAAAGCAGTTTGTTTTAATTAAATGTCATTGCCATGAAATAATTTATTTCAATGCCATTGCAGACTTCACTCATGCCAGTGACATGAAGCAATACAAAGGATGCCTGCGTGACTTCATGTGTGGAGCTACCAGCTATGCAGTGAAGCGAATGTGATTAAACAAATTCTTGAAAGTTAATAAAGATATAACCGCAGGAAAATAGCACCAAAATTAATTAAAACTACCCAGGGGTGATGTACCGATGCAGAAATTGTAATTTAAAAGCAGGCATGTTAAAAAGTCTGTATGTTAGTTACGTCCCATACTGGAATTTATAGATAGAAGTTTAATTGACATGACTATACGCAAGGAATTACAGAATATATGATTTTTTTGTCGATATTGTTGAAGCTATATTTTTTACTATAAAACAAAAGATTTATGCTAAATTTATTTCATAACATTCATCACAGAATTCAACATTAGTTTTTCAATTGGAATTTGTGAAGAGCCGTGTTATCATTTGTTTTTAAATATCACCCACTTTACACCAGGCCATCTCAGAGTGCTTTACATGCGATATGCGACTTGCATCACACCTCAAACATTTAAAAGGGTACAGTTTGACACAGCACCTGGGCTGCAAGCAGGCATTTGTCTGCCTGTAAGGGACAGTGATTTGCTATGTGTAATTACAATTGGGTATTGTGCGGGTAACTTTTCGAGTTTGGCAAATTTGGACCATGACGCAAGCACACGATGACAGCAGGGGATGTTTTAACATCCACTCTGAAGCTAATGGCGTATATTTTGACGGTTAATCCACTGATTAATAACCAGGGCGGCCTGAAGGAATCGAGCCACGAACCTCTGCAGTATGTGGCATATGCCCTATCGATGGACGAAGTCATTGCCCCTCGTTTAAAGGTGCAAAAAACAGTACATGTGTTTTTTGCACTTCATTAAACATGTAGACAAATGTAAAATTGTCGTTAAATGCTGTCATTAAATGCTGTCATTTGTTATACCAGAGTTGCATCAGTAAATATGGGAAAGGAATGTTTGCTATTGGAGTTAGTGAATATACATCTGCATTGCATTATTTGGAGCATTACCTAAACATACCTGAGGCTTAATTTAAAAGGGTATATCATTGTCATAGACTAAATCCTAAAAAAACGGCCTTTTACTAGCTTGTAAAACTAATGGTTTAATCGACTGACTGTCCAAACTTGATCTTGCATTATTGGTCTGTCTCCCTAGCAATACATGTTTGTTAAATACCGCATGTTGGTTACTCAATTCATGGACACCAGGATAGATTGAATCTACTTTATAATCTGAATTACTGTTTGCTGTTACCCTGTTAATATGCTGTTGGTATTTTACAAATGTAAACGTGAATTAAAGGTTTTTAATTGTTGGCAAACATTGTTGAGTTCTTATTTTGTTAAATTAGCGACGAGAACATGTTGAAAGTGACAACCAACTTATCTATGATGTAGGAGAGATGGTGGCATCTACAAGAGTATCATTATAACAGGACAGTTAAGGGCAATGCTACTCTAACTGTATTATGCATGCACAGTATGTGTTTTGCAACATTTACAGAAATGTGTATTGACATAGTCTTTGGTTCTATTCGGTAAAGTCACGTAAAAGTATAAAACAACAAAAAAATTCACGAAGTTTCGACCACAACACAAGTGGCCTTCATCAGGTGAAGGGACCAGACTGTCTCGAGGACAGCGCTGGAGTGAACACAGCCACGCTCAGACCGCGACCTTTAAGCTGTGTGAGAGGAATTAAGTGCCTTGACAAAGGAATTAGTATAAAAATTAGCATTTAATTGGCGGACTTAGCATGATGAACGGTGTAGAGGGGGCGAACGTGCAGACCGGCGAGGGGGGGAGGGGGAGTTTACCTATTGATGGTGTGAAAAGGGAATTTAAGCAGCTGCGAAAGTTTGGGGTACCACTACTTGAAAAAATATACTGTACCATTGAAAATTCGTTTAATGTTTGGTTCGATTTAGAACATCTTTCCAATGGTTGCTTAATTTGAAACCATCTTCTCGGTTGAAATTGTGTCTGTAAATCTGAATTGCCTCGTGAACCGTTCATCATGCTAAGTCCGCCAATAAAATGCAAATTTTTATGCTAATTCCTTTGTCAAGGCACCTTAATTCCTCACACAAGCTTAAAGGTCGCGGTCTGAGCTTGGCTGTGTTCACTCCAGCGCTGTCCTCGAGACAGTCTGGTCCCTTCACCTGATGAAGACCACTTCTGTTGTGGCCGAAACGTGAATTTTTTAATTTTTTGTTGTTTTATACTTTTACGTGACTTTACCGAATAGAACCAAAGAGTATGGATCCTTGTAGTCACGAAAGCTTCAAATCTAGAAATGTGTATTGACAGTTGAATTCCATCATGAGGCACCACGGTGGTGAGATGTTAACTACCTCGCCCGGTATACAGGAGGTCGTGGGTTCTATCGACCCTAACGCGTGTATATTTGGAGTTTGCGGTGTCTCTCCCCGAGGACGCGTGGATTTTTCTCCATGGTCCCCTGAGTTTTCCCTCCACATTTATAATCAACATGCGTTTAGAGTATTTGCCTGCTATAAATGTCCACATGATAAGCCACTTCGTTGAGTTATAATTTGTGGCCAGGTCGCTTCTGAAAAAGAGCTACATAGCTCAGTGGGCCTTACCTAGTAAAATACAAGTATATTTTTTTTATTCTTTTGTTTCCCTTCTACATGACTTTACCGAAAGAACCAAGAATATGAATCCCTGCAGTTACGAAAGCTTTTAATCAAAATTTAAAATACAAGTAGTTTAGTTTTAAACTCAATTTATATTCCTAGTTTGATCATTTTATCCAGTCTGGTGGTCTTAAGTGTGGCCAGATGGTGAACACTTGATTGACAAAAGTTCGTGAGTTTCAACAGGCCTTCTTATCCTCTGAAGATATTGGTTCATGCCATATTAAAATAAGTTTCAGGGCTGCCATTATAGTTGATCACCTCTGCACGTCCGTTTGAGCATGGAGAGTTCAATCATTATCCAAGTTGACTGGACTTGTGTTGGTAATGTACAGGCTTGTTTTTTTTCTGGTCATTATTGTGTCAACAAACATTCGAAACCAGGTCATTACTACTTCTGGAGTAGAGGTCAGCTGTGGCCAGCCGGCAGTTTACTCGTGAACAAATAGCTTATCCATTATATGTTTGTGGGGCGGATTTACAAATCACACTTATCTACGACAGAAAATACACAGTGTGAAATGATGAAATACTCCTTTCTCGAACTAAATTGATTTGCATATATATGCTTTCAGGAGGGTCAGATTTGCAGTTAGGGTGGCTTAGCATAAATTATTTTGTGATAACGGTTGACAGCAAATAATATACATCAAATCATCTCCAACATTACTCTCTGCATATCATGTATAACATGCATTGCAAATATGAACATTTTACGTGTTTACTAAATATTGGTTTTCATAGATAAGCAAATGTTATGGTATTCTATAAAGTAACTTGTAGATGCCCCCTTATACCACTTCTGCGGTACTAAACTCTACTCACCTGGTATCGACATTCAAGGGTATTTCCCTGTCCCCAGACGACCTGCTTGTCAGTTTTGATGTGGTTTCCTTATTCACCAAAGTTCCTGTACCTGACACCATCGCAATCATTGAAGACTTGGTTCATCAAGGACTGCATACTGATGTACTCCCCCTGGTGCGACACTGCTTAACCAACACATACTTCACCTGGAATGGAACTTTCTACAAACAAACTGAGGGCACCCCAATGGGCTCCCCCCTATCTCCGGTTGTAGCCAACGTTTTCATGGAGAAATTTGACACTGACGCCATCCAGACTGCCACTCTACGCCCGACCTTATGGAAGAGGTACGTGGATGACACTTTTGTCATCTGGCCACATGGCTGGCCTGCTCTAGACCAATTGCTTGACCACATCAATTCCATACACCCAGCCATCAGATTTACCATGGAAGTCGAAAAAGATGGCAAGCTACCCTTTTTGGATGTCCTAATTAAAATGAGACCTGATGGTTCAATGAGCCACTCTGTCTACAGGAAAGCTACCCATACGGATGCTTACTTAAAACCGGATTCCCACCACCATCCATCCCAGAAGAATTCCCTCATCAAGACTCTATACCATAGAGCCCAATGCATTTCCGACCAGGAACACATTGCCAGTGAACTCAAGCACGTACACCAAGCTCCCAAGGCTAATGGTTACTCCGACTGCACAATCCGCAAAGCCATCACTCCAACCATGAAGAAGGATCCTCTTGAGGAGCCATTCAAAGCCATCACCTTACCCTACATTGCGGGGGTCACAAAAAAGGTCTCCAAAATCTTGAATAAACACAAGATCCAGGTCCGATTCAACACAGTACATAAAATCCGTGATCTGGTTCCGTCTGTAAAAGATGTGGTTCCAGACATACAGTACCCGGGCGTCTACACACTAAGTTGCCTCTGTGGTAGCAGCTACATTGGAGAAACCAAACGACATATCTCAGACCGCATCCGTGAACATAAAGCAGACTTGAAACACGGTAGGACGAACACCTCAGCCGTGGCAGATCACTGTTATAATTCAGTGGGCTCACATGACATTGACTTCTCCAAGACGGAGGTTCTCCGCAAGCCATCCGGCTACCATGAGAGATTCGTTCATGAGGCCATCCACATATACAAACACAGAGACAATTTCAACCAAGAAGATGGATTCTGGCTTAGGAATCATTGGAAAGATGTTATAAACCATTTTGGTTCTTGATTGATTGTATTTTACAGTGACTTTCAGACTGCAGTCCATTCGCTGGCACTGCCTCTTAATACCTTTCACACGACGGTCAATGGTATGGTTTATAGCATGTATAATAATAAATAGTATAACAGTGGAATGTTTAACATAATTCATAAGGCAATATATAGTATCGTAATTGTATAGTGACTATACAGCAGTGTGGTATACAGTAGGGTTTGGTTGAATAATACATAGTGTAATATTACAAGTCTAATATTTTATTGTCTTAAAGTATAGGGTAGTGTATAGTAACGAATTGTATAATTCAAGGGTGGGGTTTGTCTGTGGCAGTGTATACTACGGTGTATAATCGTGTAACGTGGAAAAAAAGTTTAGTTGGAGACATATCAATATAATGCATAATGTTAGAGCTTACATTGGGCTGTGTATACGATATTATACAATGTAGTTTAGATTGGAAGGTATAACATTGTAATGTATAGTAGTCTAGTTTATAACATAGTTGTAACGCAACACAGGACAGCAGCGCATCGTGGCTGTTTCTCCCCCCTCCTCCGTTCTGAGCATGGACTCGTAGACAATATGACTGCCTCTTCAGCTGCCACTATGTCGACCAAATGTAAGGACAATTTGATTTACAAATTCAACCGCCTCTCCAACAAGAAATCGGACCCACACACCGAAAAGCTAGACGTTAACAAAGTCGTAATTAATCGCAGTAACAGTTCTATTTCTGATGGTCTGAAAACCGTTTTAGCTAAAGGGCTAAACTTTGCAGTCACACCTAGACACATACCAGTTAATGATATCATTGCCCATGTCGACGTGGCACTCAAGGGCCTGGGTCACATCGCTGCAGATGTAGCAAGATCTGAAATCGCTGCAACCCTCACAAAAACGCTAAAATGCCAGCTTGCAACATCAGCAAAGATGAGCGCTTTGAATGATCTTAATTAAAAAAAGAGGGATGACATTGTCATCCTTTCAGCCGACAAGGGCAATGCCACTGTCATCATGGACAAAATAGAATATAACAACAAAATTCAGGAACTACTCAATGATGGCAGCTATACAAAAATAAGAAGAGACCCCACCAACAGCCTCTTTACTAAAACCAACAAAATCATTTCTGATTCAACAGCATTAATTGATCAAACCAAACAGTTCTTGTTGAAACATTCTGCGGCCAGACCACCAAGATTATATGGCCTTCTAAAAATACATAAAGAAGATACACGCCTTCGTCCCATCTTCTCTACTATCAACTCTGAAATCCTGCGGCTTTTTCTGTTGATATTTAAACTCCTTTGTCAAGGCGCTCTGCTCCTCCCACCCAGCTTAAAAGACGCTGCCAAGCTTAGCAGTGTTCATTTAAGCGCTGTCGTCCCGACAGTTCTGTTCCTTCACCTGAAGAAGGCTACTTGTGTTGTGGCCGAAACGTCGTGAGAAGTTTGTTTTATTATGTTTTATTTTTATTATTTTATTTCCATTCTACGTGACTTTACCGAAAGAACCAAGGAGATGAATCCCTGCAGTCACAAAAGCTTTAAATCGAAATACCAAGTCTGCTTAGAGTATGAAATGCTACTGCAGTGTAGCAAATGCTACACTGC